TCTAACTTCTCCACATCCTTTCCAACAATTGCTATCTTCCATTTTTTAAATATTACAGCCATCCGCATGGGTGTGACATTGTATCTCTATGTGGTTTTGATTTTCATTTCCCGGATGACTAATATGTTCAGCATCTTTTCATATGCTTGTTTGCCATTTGTATGTATTTTTTAGAAATGTCCATTCAAGTCCTTTGCCCATTTTTAAGTTGTTTTTTTCTTGTCCTTATGTTGTTGATGTGTAAGAATTCTTTATATAGATAAGTCTAGATACTAAACTTATCAGATAAATGGCTTTCTCCCATTCTGCAGTTGTCTTTTCACTTTCTTGATTATTGCCTTTGATGAACAAAAGTTTTGTATTTCGATAAAGTACAATTTATTTTTTCTTTTGCTTATATTTTGGTTTCATATATAAGAAATCATTGCCAAATCCAAAGTCAAAATTTATCTCTATGTTTTCTTCTAAGAATTTCACAGTTTTAACTCTTACATTGAGATTTTTAATCTATTTTGAATTAATTTTTGTAAATGATATGAAGGCTGACCCCCACCACTACCACCAGAGGCAATAAGAGGCCTCTGGTTATTTTTGTGGGAGGGCTATTTTCCCCTTCTGACTCAATTTCTTTAAAATATGCTATTTTTCCATTTCTTCCCAGGTTATTTATAATTTTATATTTTTCTTTAAAATTTTCCGTTTCTTCTATATATTCAAATTTGTTTTTCATAATATCCTTTTATCTTTCAAAAACATGTGCTATTGGTAATAATGTCTCCCCTTTTATTTATGATATTAGTAATTTGTGTTTTGTCTTTTTATTTCTTGTCTAAATTTGCCAATGATTTGTTAGTTTTATTAGTTTTTTAAAATAGAAACTGCTACCTAGTTTAAGAAGCAGAACATTGGCACTTCCTTCCTCCCTCCCTCTCTCCCTCCCTTCCTCCCTCCATCCTTCCCTCCCTCCCCCCTCCCACACACCATCTCTGTTTTGTTTTGTTTTTTTTTTCTTTCTTTCCTTTCTGTACTGGTATTGTTCTAAACCTTATCCTAGATAATGATTTTACATGTATTTAAATTTCTACTTCTTTGAAATATATTCATTTTATACAATCTTTGGTAAAGACAGTACATTTTAAAAGTTTAAGCAAAATTTAACCATATTAAGCTCTAATGCTTTGTTTAAGGTATAGAGTGAAATTTTTCAAACTATAAGAGACAGACATCACTCAGTAGAGTTTTTGGCAAAGTCATTTGTGTCATTAAATATTTCAGACATAACAATGTAAAGACTGTTGTAATGAACACCCGATTACCAAACTAACCTTAAGAAAGAAAACCTTTCACATATAGGTGAAACATACTGTGTATCCCTTTCTGATTACATTTCTTTTCTAATACAGAGCCACCCACAGTCACGAATTTGGTGATCATCCTTGAAATTCTTATCTATATACTTTTGCCTATATGTATCTATCCTTAAACAGTATGTAGTGTTACTTCACATTTTATAAAATAATACACAAATGATAGCCAATGGTATGTGTCCTTCCACAGATAGTTTTTGCTAACCATCATTCATTCAATAAGTATTTTTGCTGAAGTTTTCTATTTTTTATTTGTTTCGAGATTATTTGGAATTGCTTGTTGAGAACTTTTTTGGTGATGGCTGCTCTAAAATCCTTGTCAGATCATTTCAGCATCTTATTTATTGCTAAATGGGCAAAAGTTGATGACTTTGTCTCGTTTGGGTGGTGGCTTTCCTGGTTCTTGGTATGATGAGTGATTTTTATTGTATTCTAGACATTTTGACTATTAAATTTTGAGACTCCAGATCCTATTTAAAGAAGTCACTTGTTTATGTTTACTGCATAGTCCCTGGCTTACTTTTTTGGGCTGTGGTTCTAATGACAGTATAGATTTCAGAGACTATACAGCATTATTCCGGTCCACTTTGTTCACCTGGCTCCACCAGGGCCCTGCAGGGGCGGAGTGCAGTTCCCTGGCAGGTCCTGCTAGGTGGAGTGTGGGAGATGCTGGGCCATGGCCAGTGGGTGCTTCCCTGTGCCTGTTCTCTGGGCTGCCCAGGACCTCCTGATCACTGCTGGTATTGCCTGAGCCAAGGTAAAGGACTTTCCTGGGCTCCCATGCAGGTGCCGCTAGGTGGCGAGTGAAGGATACTGGGCCTGTGGGGCAGAGAGTATCTTCCATGGCCTTCTCTCTGCATCACCTGGTACCAAGGGGCTTCTTGATCTCTGCCAGTTGCCGCTGAGTGAGGGAAGCATCAACCTGGGCCTCTTATTGCCTCTGGTGGTAGTGGTGGGGGTCAGCCTTTGCCACTGGGCGCAAGCCCAGGAGATGCTGGACATGGGTCTCCCTGTATGGCCGAATGGAGGGCCAGGAGACACTGGGCCTGTTAATACTTCTGGGTGGAATTCTCTACCGACTCTTTCCACTGCTGGATCTTCTATTTCCGGATCTCTCACAAGGCTGCAATCAAGGTGGTGACTGGAGACAAAGTCTCATCTGAA